TAAAATAATTAATGAAGATGATAATATCCATGATTAACATCATCCACAATAAAAATGATTAATCAACCTCTCATAATTACAAAAAAATGAACAAAATAAAAAATTATGATTAGTTGAATGAAGTTTGTACGGTTTGTACAAATTAGGTGGTTTTTATTTGAACGCTCCCCTATATATATAATTACTTTGTATAACATATTTAATAATCATGTCCTAATAGCATAATTTAATATCATGCGTTTTTCACAACACAAACAGTACGAATTGGTATTTAAACACGTACGTTTAACGTGTACCAATTTAAAGACCACGTAAACTAAACCCTTGGTTTTTATTAAGTTATTTATAGGTAAAAATTTTTGTATGAATTAACTTGTGTGTATAGATCGAGAAAGTTTTTGTTTGAGAAAAAACTCTCATAAAAGTTTATTGAATAAGCTATTTTTTATATCATTAAGTCACTACTAAACAGTCATGTATGGTTGACCGAATAAGTTGTGAGTCATGTTATCCTTAAGCTGCCAACAAACAGACCCCTAGCTAGATAAGAGGTCGTTTACCAAACGTTTACTCGGATAAGCGCTTACTAAGTCACATTACCTTACCAGATGAATATGGAAATGACCAAGAACCTTACCTGGTAAGAGCGAAAACAAAGACAGAGAGTTTTACCGGTAAGTGATGACGGCGGCTCTTATCACGGTTAGCGCTTACCCGGCAAATTATTACATATTCTACTGTTTTGGTGGACTAATTTCCCAATAAGTAAGTGATAGTGTTAATTTTATCGATAAACGTTTATCCTGATAAGTATGTTTTAAACGACCCCTAAATCTAATCTAATCTCTGAATGGTTTGTCCAATCATCTTAACACCTAAACAATTCAAACACAATATATATACACCAACCATCCCATATTATATATATATATATATATATAGTTTGGTTCTATGAGAATGAAATTTATAGTGAGAAGTTCTAAAAAGATCTTTATCCTTGAATCAATCATAATTGAAGATCAACACATACTAATGCACTGATCGATATGCACTAGATTAATTCATGTGATAAAGACAGTTCAAGGGGTGGGGGTGAGAGTAAAAGTGATCATGGGTCAAGATCCCTTCTTACGTTTCTCACCTTAACTCTTACTCTCACACGATCCTTCGTCTCTCTCTCTCTCTCTCTCTATATATATATATATATATATATATAGAGAGAGAGAGAGGGGGGAGGGAGGGTTCAGAGAATAACCCCAAAAAAATGAAAAAAACTGAAGAACATACCGATAACATTCGTCTAGACGGTATGCATATGTGAATACAAGTATCTGAAGCTGGTTCTTGGTTTCTATGCACATGTGCATGTTATGCACTTGTGTATACCGGACAAATTGTTTACAAATTACATGCATGCATATGTGCATATCGTCCAGATGAACTGTTACCGATGTGTTCCTCGGTTTTTCATTTTTTTTTACAGTCTTCTTCTAAATCTGACCGTATATATATAAATACAACCACTCTAACAAGACATTCAAACAAATCTTTCCGGGGCATTAAGAAACACCAAATATTTTCAAAACAATTTACATTTATTTCTCTAAACTTGACCAACTTTATAAAAGTCCGTCTTTTTATTCATTAAGTTTCTAATATACAACACGTTCATCTCACTGTGATTTATACTAGACATCCTAATATTTTAATAAAAATATTATACAGTTTAAACCGAGTTACGAGTGATTTACTACCACTTATTTAAATTTTAGCAACAATCAAAACATCAATTTCGAGCAAATCATCCCATGAACGAAATTAAACCATCTAATTGGTCTCGAGGGTTTTAATCATAGAGATTTGGAGAAATTCGTGGAGTAATGATAACTTCAAGTGGTTTCACCTTCGGCAGTGCAATCCCTAAGCCTTCGCTCATGTCCACGGGCTTTCCCATTGGTGTCGACAAATCAAACCCTTGAAGTAACCGAGCTAGTGTCAAATGAACCACTTGGAAAGCAAACGTGATTGCAGGGCACATTCTTCTTCCGGAGCTAAATGGAATGTATTCATAATTCTGACCCTGATAATTTATGTTCGAGTGTTGCTCAAGAAACCTCTCTGGTCTAAACTCATGAGGATCTGACCAAACTTGTGGATCGCGATGTAGCTTCCACACGTTCACAATCAAACGTGTCCCCTTAGAGACATGATATCCACCGATATTGCAATCTTCAATGGCCTCATGAGGTCCCGCCAACGGACCTGGTGGGTACATCCGAAGTGTTTCCTTCATTATGGCTTGTAAATACGGTAGGTTTTTAATATCTGATTCTTCCACCCATTTCTCTCGTCCTACATGGATGTCAAGCTCCTCCTGAGCTGCTCGTAGGACGTGCGGGTTGTTCAACAGTAAAGAAAGTGCCCATGTTAGCGTCAAAGCGGTGCTTTCCGAACCCGTCAACATCAAAATCTACCAAAAACATATGTTTAACATAGTTAAGAGTCAATAAACACACTACGACAAAATTGGTTTCAGAGAACTTAAGCTTACAAGACCAAATAATTATACGTCCTATGTAAATGTGTTACAATAAGTTGATCGACGTTTTTGAACGTCCAAACAAATTTTTAGGACAATTTAAAAAAAAAAAGTCATATTACTCTTTTTATATGACATAATTTGGAGGAAAAAAAAATGTCTTACAAAAAAGTGACATAAAAATACGTGTTCACGTTAACACTTCTCAAAAGCGTGACATAAAAAAACAAATATGACACCTTTAAAAAACTTATTAGAATGCTCAAATACGTTCTAACATCCTATTGTAACATATTTACATAAGATGTACAATTTTTTATCCTACAAAATACTTTATTATTAAGACATTTAAACATATTTGACGTCTTGTAAACACTACAATAAAATTGGGTTCATAAGCCACCAAAAAAATAAGCATCATAATACACCACTTTATAAGACTTGATTTATAAGACCAAAAAATAAAATATCAACTTTAAAAATGTTGTAGTAAGTTTATAGGAAGTTTTTAGGCGTCGTAACAAGTTTTTTCTAACATCCTTATAAAAAACGTCGTATTGACTATTTTATAGAACACCATCTGAAAAGGCGTTTTATAAAAACATGTAAATATTCTATAAAAAGAGGGATTTATAGGTGACTTTTTCAAAAGTGTCACAAAATAGCTAATGCATTTTGTATTAAAAGTGTCATAAAAAAACTTGTTAACACGTCCAAAAACGTATTACAAACTTATTACAACGTTTTATTTTTGTCTTATAAATTAAATCTTATCAAGCAGTATATTAAGAAACTTAGAAATTGATAGCGTCCTATAAACCTAATCTTATTGTAACGAAAGCCGATTTTACCATAAATATGTTACCAACCATTATTGTCGCCTTGATGACGGTTTCACGCCGGTGGCCATGCATTTCGCTATCTTTTGATAGGGTCGAAAGCATCACATCCATGAAATCTTCTTCTTCTTTACGACCATCGTTCTCGTTTCTCTTCATAGCGTGTTCTTTAAGCCATTTTTCGATAACGATATCGACCTCTTTTGCTACTTCCTTCATCGCATTCAAATGCCCTCCGATATCCATCCATTCCAAAATTGGAAAGAAATCGGAAGCAACAAAAATGCCACTAAGATACAACCCTTTTTTGATTGCTTCATGCACATGTGAATCTTCATCATCACCTTCAATCCTACACCCATAAGAAAATCTTTTTCGGGCCAAAATTTGTATGGTTACATTGAATGTTACTTGCTCGAACCACTTGCCCATGTTGACTGTGGACATTTGGTCTCCATTCTTTAGGGTCGACAAGGAGAAGAGGTGGGTAATGAAGCTCTTGATTTCCAAGTTACGAACATTCTTGTACTTTTCAAGACGTTGGCTAGTAAAGAGCTCTGAAGTGACTAGCTTTCGAATCTCTCGCCAATATGGTCCATATGGTGCCAGTGCAAAACCAGCGTCGTTGTAGACCATGTGCCGACTAGTGGCCGTATCTGGCCTGGTGGCGAAGTTTCTATCATTGGTGGTGAAACAGTCTTTAACCATTTCCCAACTGCTCACCACCAATGCTTGACGACTACCGAGCCTGAGGGAGTAAACAGGCCCGTAGTCGTCAGCAATTTTTCCAAGAATCTTGGCCACAGGAGCTTGGCCTCTTAGGAAATGAAGGTGACCTATAAGAGGCAAAGCTCCTGGTGGTTCAGGAGCTAATTTGATACTCTTTCTTGTACTGCTTCTTTTGTAAGCAGAAATTAGAAGAAGTATGAGAACCCCTAAAACCGGTAGAAATTGGGGAAAAGTTTCCATGGTAATGTATGGGTTTGTTTTCTTGAATTTGAAAATTGAATCAACACTTCACTTGTATTTATAGATGGGACTTAAAATGTATGGTTGTACTATCGACAATGATATGTTTGTAGCTAACGGAGAGTTTTCGCATTTATGCAAAATCATTTCGACCTTTCAATTGGCATCTGCCATGATTACAAGATTGACGACTCTAATGGCATGTTTGTTTTTTCAAAATTACCTCTTAATACCTCTGAAGTCTGATTCGTTTAGACGTTTGAGTATTAAGAGTGTTTGTTTTATTTCTAAAATAAGAGCTTAAAAGCTGTAAATGTTCTATGAAATTTTAAGTGGTAAAAGTATCACTTAATACCTCTTAATCATAGTTTGTCGTTTACGAAATGGTTCATATTTTGGGGGTTGTAAGAGATTTGTTAGCAAAAACTATTTATATTTTATACTTTTGTAAAAAAATGATTTATCTTACATTAGTTTGACCGATTTAGATTTCAGACTTCAAAAGTAAAAACAAACAATCTTAATGATCCAGATTTCAGAACCTCAACACCTCTTAAAAAACAAACGTCACCTAAATCTTTTATAACGATGTTATAATAAGTTGTCAGGACAAAAATAGACAGCTTAAAAGGTTTTATTAATGAAGTTGGACAATTTAACAGTAGATAAGAATTATATTGTCGTGTTGGTCAGACACTTTACAAAAATGTCATATAAAATAGAGTAAATTACATTCTTACTCTGTGTGGTTTGTTGAAAATTTATATTTTTGTTCTTATGGTGTTGAAATTTATTTTCATTAAAAATTTATTGCTTTTTTTTGTTCCTATGATTTAAATTTTTTTTTTTTTCATACTTAAAAGTAGTGTTTTGATCTCAGGAACGAAAAAAGAAATGAATTGCAAAGGATAGGGACGGAAATCAAAATTTCAAAACCACAATGACGAAATCCGTAATTTTTGTTGTATTACGAAAATTACGTAATTTTTGACTTAATAGTATTTTCTTAGCAGATTAATGAGACTCACAGCTTATTCGGTCAGCTATATATGATATGAGAATCGGTTTATTCAGTGAGTTTCTAAGGAGAGCTTTATGCCAGAAGTCAATTTTTTTTTTCCAAACTTGTCTCCCACAATTAAAAAAATATGCTCATTTTATCTATGAAAAAATCCTCTAAAATAAAAATATTCTAAACTTATACAGATATATTAATTTATAGAGATAATTTTATATATACAAATCATAAGACTTAATAGAAACTAAATTCAGACTTCTTGGTGCTGAGCATGTTTGAAACGAGAGTTGCAATCAGGCCCGGCCCTGGGCACGTGTAGCCCGTGCAACCGCACAGGGCATCAAAGCCCAAAGGGGCATCAAATTTTTATATAATATTAGTTTCGAGTTTTGGGGTTTAATAATTTGAGACTTGGACTTTAATTATAAACAAAGACCCGATTGATCAGACTTGTTAATAACAAACCCAATGACTTGAATCGGTTACAATGGGATAGATGGAGCACAGTTCAGAAGACGACTGACTTTGACGATTTGAAATTGACGATTTCTATTGCTCTTTGAATGTTCGAGTTTTTCGATTTTCGATTTTTGATTTTCGACGATGATGTTCCAGTTTTAGAGGAAGACGGTTAATGGTGACTAGTCTAACGATGTCCATGGGACGATGGATCGATCTTGATGATTGGTCGATGCATTGCCGACTACCAAGGTATGATTTTGTTTCTAAATTCTAACATAGTAACATTTAATTGATCAATTTTGACATTATGCATTCATTGTATTTCCAATTAATACAAGCTCTCTTATCATCTTATGATAATGGTAGCTGACTTGCTGAATGTTGAATATGAAAAAGTAATTGATATTTTTGCTTCAAGAAGTGCACGAAGACATCGTTTTAGTTGATATACTTATATTTGTAATTTGGGGTTTTGGTTTTTATTTTCCCCTTTGTATTTTTCATGCTAATTAATAAAATTTGGCGTAAGGTTGAGCTGCCTAGCTTGACTAGGTTCCAAACCCTTTAGTAAAATCGCATTTTTCATCGTTTCATTTGCTTAAAATATAGACATTGGGACATTTTTTAGTATCTTCGCACGGGGTATCAAAAACCTCAGGAACGGCACTGGTTGCAATTCATCACATGTTTTGCATGTTGCGTACGGAAAATAAAAATGGGAGATATCCCTAAATAATTAGTTATATTCATATAATTATTTTATTGACTAAATAATTCGTAAGATAATTTTATTATTAATAAAGAAATTGCAAGTTACCTTTTTTTTTATTGTAACAGTTGAATCATTAAATCTATATCTATATACTATATTATAAAGTATTTGACAAAAACTTTTAAAAACTACTTTTTATGCGTAAAGTACTGTTTATTAATGCATATTACTCAAAACTCAATATTACAAGTAGATTGTGCGTAAGTACAACTTATTAAAGCTCCATTTCTTCAAATTTATATTTTATTCAAAAATAAAAACATTATTGATTTCTCAAAACCACATAAAATCGTATCATATCGATAGAGATAAAGCATAAAAACTACACATTAAAAAACGAGATTTATCTCGCTGCATTGCGCGAGTACCATTCTAGTTATATTATAAAGCATTTTATATAAACTCTTAAAAATCATTTTGTATGCATAAAGTATTGTTTATTGTTGCACATTACTTAAAATTTAAGATAACAAGTAAATTATGCGTAAATACAACATATTAAAGTTTAATTTTTGAATGTGTAACTAAATAAATATAATTAAATACGGGATAGATATCTCATTTTGAATATAAAAGATCTAAAATATAATTAGTATAATCATTAGTTATARCAAAATAMTTRATTATTATCTTTATAAAAATTATAAAATTAAACGATAAATAAGTAATTCGTTATTAAATATAAATTAAATTATAAATAATATTAAAATTAAATAAATTACATAAAAATAAAAATTTTAAATAGTAAATTTGAAACTAATATCGATATATTAAAAATTGTATTATATCGACATAGATAAATAATAAAACGAAACATTAAAATTAAGATATATCTCACTATATTATGCAAACATTCTTTCAAATTAATTAATATCATTTTTTTTTACAAAATTATATATTTTTTAATATGTGGTGGTCGTCCCATGATATGATAAATTCACAATATTATAAAATATAATATGGAATGTTAAAAATGTTACTTAAATCTAAATAATTAAAATTTTCTTTTTTTTACTGCTTGTTTAATATGATAAATTTATTTGTGGTTTTTGTACTTATTATATTATGACATGTTAAAATTAAGTTTTAACATGTCATTTTCAGTTATTTTAGATTTGTCAACTAATTTATCAGTTAGTTTGTAATTTATGTCAAACACGATCAGTTTATCAGCTAACAACTAGATTTTTAGCCAACTGTTACTTAAATTTGCCAAACATAACTAAAACAGAATACAATAGGGTTTATAGAACATTCATATGACACTTAGAAGGTCTAAGTGTCTTAATAGGTTGTTTTACGTATAAAACCAAAGTTTATAGGACCAAACTATAAAATGCTCTATTTTAGAAACATTACAATAGGTTTATATAATGATTTTTAGATATTTTAACAAGTTTTTTGCAACGCTTTCAAAAATAAAGTGTCATATTAACTATTTTATATGACAAAATTGAGAAATGTGTTATAAACTCGTCTTTTATAGGACACTTTTTCAAATAGTGTCATATAAAATAGATAATACAACACTTTATTTTAAAATCTACCTAAAAAACCATGTTAAAACGCCTAAAAATGTCTTATAACCTATTGTGATGCTTTTTGGTTTGATTTTATAAATGTAAGTCTTATAAAATATTTTTATTATGATACTTATACATTTTAGACGTCTTATACAACCAATTTTAATGTAGTGAATCTAATACTCAACATGATTTCATTTTCTTGCAACTTAAACAGAGATATCAACGAGTCGATCAAGTCACATAATAAAAGCGTTATTAGATGTGTTGAAAACATGACTGTTATGACTTGAAATCCTTGTAATAAGTTTGTCTATATTTGGTAAATTTGATTTTGATATTAATTATCTGCTTTTTGAAAGCCATAATATTCAGATTTTGAAAAAAAAAACAAGTAACCATTTTTATACCGGATGCAACTTATCCCAGTTTATGAGGTCTTGCGATGATTTTAGTTATAGAAAGTTGCTATTTTGGATCACATTCGACATAATTAGGTACAGATCCATGAATTTTTCCATACGATGGCACTACCAAAAGAAAGACTTTGAACTAGGAACTTTTCCCTAGGAAATCCGTCACTAACGGACGATTTGTCACGAAGCTATCACAAAAGTTAGTAAATTGTTGGTGGATAATTCAAATCAGTGACGGATTACCCCCAACATTTTCTGGGTTTTCGTTGGTATTTTCTTGAAAAACATCGAATTCTACTACACCATTGATATTTTCTAGTAATTCGTCAGTAATTACCGTTGAAAATTCCTCTGGGTGAAAATCATTTGTTTTATAATGCACAATATGAAACAGTTACACCTTTCACAAACCTAAATTATAATTTGTGATGAGGTTATCTTGATAATATAAATAAAAGCCTTTTCATTTGAAATCTATTTATTTAATTGTTTAAAAAAACTACTTAATTAATAAAATGATTAAAAATTTAATGATGTTAAATCAATCATAAAAATTACAAGTGGGTGTCAATTAATTGCCTTCATTGAATGTCAGAATATGTAACACATGTTGCTAAAGGACAAATATGGAATTTTTCAGCGTTAGCGCAAATTGCACATTGATATGAGTTGGCTGACTGTTCATGTTGCAGTGTTGCTCATGTATGTTGCATATTTTTTTTCTCGTAACTATGGGTGTTTCGGGAAGATTATGTGCATTTCGACTAATTTCATGAGACCTTGAAGATAAAAGTTAAAAAGAGGGGGGG